ATGAGAGGAAACCTATGGGGTGCATTTACCCATTGCAATAAGATAATGGAGCTCATTCCAAATCAAAGGCATTTATTTCCCAGTTTCACCACTGTGTTGCCACTTTGGATGACTGGGATTTGTAGTTTCATGAGGATTCTCAATGAGAGGAAACCTATGGGGGTGCATTTGCCCATTGCAGTAGGATAATGGAGCTCACTCCAAATCAAAGGCATTTATTTCCCAGTTTCACCACTGTGTTGTCACTTTGGATGGCTGAGATTTGTAGTTTCATGAGGATTCTCAATGAGAGGAAACCTATGGGGGTGCATTTGCCCATTGCAATAAGATAATMMWGCTCATTCCAAATCAAAGGCATTTATTTCCCAGTTTCACCACTGTGTTGRCACTTTGGATGYCTGGGATTTGTAGTTTCATGAGGATTCTCAATGAGAGGAAACCTATGGGGGTGCATTTGCCCATTGCAGTAGGATAATGGAGCTCACTCCAAATCAAAGGCATTTATTTCCCAGTTTCACTACTGTGTTGTCACTTTGGGTGGCTGGGATTTGTAGTTTCATGAGGAAACCTTTGGGGGTGCATCTGCACTGTAGTATGATTACAGTTTGACAGACACTTGCTTTTTCTACTATGGAACTCCTGGGAGATGTAGTTTGGTAAGGGTAGCAACACTTTTGGAAGTTTTACAAGCTGAAGACCTTGTAAAACTGCAACTCCCAGGATTCCACCATATTGAGCCACGACATTTAAAAGTGGCTCGCTGCTATAGAATAGTAGGAATTGTAGTTTCACACGGTCTTCGGCCTTCTCTGCCAAAAGTGTGGTGAAACTTCCCCTAAACTACAAATCCCAGGACTTCATCGTTTGGGTAGGCATTAGTACTCTTTGGCGGAGATGCCCTTGCAAAACTATAACTTACAAGATCCCCATGCATGGAGCCATGACACTTAAAAGTAGTTAAATGCTATAGAATAGTGGGTGTTGTAGTTTTGCAAGGTCTCTAGCCATCTGAGCCAAAAGAGTGGTGAAACTCCTCCTAAACTACAAATCCCAGGACTTCTTAGTTTGGAGAGGCGTTAGTACTCTTTGGCAAATAAGCCCTTGCAAAACTGCAACTCCCAGGAACCTACCACGTTGAGCCATGGTACTTAAAAGTGGGTTGATGCTATAGACTGGTGGGAGTTGTAGTTTTACAGCCTTCTTTGCCAAAAGAGTGGTGAAACTTCCCGTAAACTACAAATCCCAGGACTTCATCGTTTGGGTAGGCATTAGTACTCTTTGGAGGAGATGCCCTTGCAAAACTACAACTTCCAAGATCCCCATGCATGGAGCCATGACACTTAAAAGTAGTTAAATGCTATAGAATAGTGGGAGTTGTGGTTTTATTTATTTATTATTTATTTACCTTACCCGAAGGCGACTCACAGCGGTTCACAACAAATACGAACAGCAAAAATTCAGCGCTACAGTATAGAAACAGTTAACAACCTGACACATTACACAATTAATAAACAGTTACTACAATACCCATTCACTGTCATCTCGTCATCAAAAACATGTTCCAGATTCGTCATCCATTGTTCCATTCCAGTGTTCATTAACCAATCATTGCACTAATTATTCGAACGCCTGCTCAAACAGCCAGGTCTTCACTTTTTGTAAGATCTCTAGCCGTCTGTGCCAAAAAAGCGGTGAAAATTCCCATAAAATACAACTCCAGTCCTTGCAAAACTACAACTCCCAGGATCCCCAATGCTTGGAGCCATAGCACTTATAAGTGGCCCAGTGCTACAGGTCCGTGGGAGTTGTAGTTTCACATGGTCTTTAGCCTTATGTGCCAAACATCCCCTGACCTACAATTCCAGTCCTTGCAAAACTACAACTCCCAGGATCCCAAACGCATGGAGTCATAGTATTTAAAAGTGATCCAGTGCTACAGGACCATGGGAGTTGTAGTTTCACAAGGTCTTTAGCCTTCTGTGCCAAAGGGTGGTGAAACATCCCCTGAACTACAATTCCAGTCCTTTCAAAACTACAACTCCCAGGGTCCCAAACGCATGGGGCCATAGCACTTAAAAGTGGCCCGGTGCTATAGGTCCGTGGGAGTTGTAGTTTCACATGGTCTTTAGCCTTCTGTGCCAAAGGGTGGTGAAACATCCCCTGAACTACAATTCCAGTCCTTGCAAAACTACAACTCCCCGGATCCCAAACGCATGGGGCCATAGCACTTAAAAGTGGCCCGGTGCTACAGGTCCGTGGGAGTTGTAGTTTCACATGGTCTTTAGCCTTCTGTGCCAAAGAGTGGTGAAACTCCCCCTAAACTACAATTCCCGTCCTTGCAAAACTACAACTCCCAGGATCCCAAACGCATGGAACCATAGTACTACAGTGCTACAGGACCGTGGGAGTTGTAGATTCACAAAGTCTTTAGCCTTCTGTGCCAAAGAGTGGTGAAACTTCCCCTAAACTACAATTCCCGTCCTTGCAAAACTACAACTCCCAGGATCCCAAATGCATGGAGTCATGGCAGTGAAAGGAAGTGAGGCCGAACTGGAGTCATCCCACTGCGGACAGACTTTTAGTGAAATGTAGTGGCCTAATTGGGGCAAAGTTTTGGCGCTGTTCCTATCTATGCCCTTGGTCTAAAAAGATCAGGTCTGGGCATGCCCAGTGTGGCCGGCTATTGCCTCAATTCACAACATACAAGGTTTGTTGACTTTATTTGTTAACTGTTAAGACTTTGACTAAACTCCATTAGAAATGTGGGATTGCCAAGGCACCTTGCAAACCTCAGTCTGGAATACAGCGAAATGTAATGGGGTTGTGTAGCCTGCAGATCGTTAAGAGGGCACACCAGAGCCATTGTTTACATATTTGAAAGGATGTCATAAGGAAGAGAGGAGGACTCCGTGGGGTCATGGGTTCAAATAACAGGAAAGGAGATTCCAACCCAACGTGAGAAAGAACTTCCTGACCATATGTTGAGGGTGTTTTGTGCTTTCCCTGCACAGCAAAATGAATAGGGTTGGACTAGATGGCCTTTAGGGGTCTCCAACTCTATAATAGCATGGATAATCCCAATTTTAGTATCCAATAGAGCCATGATGCTTTTGGGTTTGGTTCCAGCACCCCTGTGGATACTGAAACCTATGGAGATTCAAGCTTCATTATCTAGAAGGGCAGATTTAAAATTGCCATAGCTATTTGAATGATTCAAACGAGAATATGGGAAATGATAGGATGCAATGGCTACATTTTTGGATAGTGCCCAGTGCATGGCGAAAATCAAGGTTTTGGTTTAGGAATATATATACACACACACACACACAAAACACACACATACACACACACCAGCCGTCCCCAGCCACGTGTTGCTGTGGTCCAGTCTGTGTATATGAGTTTTTTGTGTGTATATTTGTGTTTATGTGTATATATGTGTGTGTGTTTGCGCACGTTTGTGTGTGTATATGTGTACGTGTGTGTGTGTGTATATATATATATAAATATATAGTTTTGCAGATACGATGTAATGTATTTTTTTTATTTTTTGGCTTTTAAAGTCCCTTCTGTTGTGTTTTCCAGTGTTTTTATATGTGATGGTCACTCGTTGGCCTGGTAGGTGTATTGTGTCCAAAATTGTTTTCAATTTGTCCAGTGGTTTTTGGGTTATGTTAATCCCACAAACGAGCATTACATTATATATATATATATATATATATATATATATATATATATATATATATATATATATACACGCGCCATTCCCTGCCACGCGTTGCTGTGGCCAGCCTGTGTATACATGTTTTGTGTGTGTATATATTTGTGTATATGTGTATATATTTGTGTGTTTGTGTATTTATGTGTTTTTGCACATGTGTTGTAATGGGTTTTTTGTTGGCTTTTAAAGTCTCTTCTGCTGTGTTTTCCAGTGTTTTTATGAGTGATGGTCACTCGTTGGCCTTATAGGTGTATTGTGTCCAAATTTGGTGCCAATTAGTCCACTGGGCTTTGAGTTATGTTAATCCCACAAATGAACATTACATTTTTATTTATATAGACTAGCCGCCCCCTGCCACATGTTGCTGTGGCCCACATGGGGGTTCTGTGTGGGAGGTTTGGCCCAATTCTATCGTTGGTGGGGTTCAGAATGCTCTTTGTAGGTGAACTATAAATCCCAGCAACTACAACCCCTGAATGTCAAGATTCTATCTTCCCCAAACTTCACCAGTGTTCATTTTTGGGCATATTGAGTATTCATGTAGAGTTTGGTCCAGATCCATCATTGTTTGAGTCCACAGTGCTCTCTGGATGTAGGTGAACTACAACTCCAAAACCAAAGGACACTGGCCCACAAAACCCTTCCTGTTGGTCATGGAAGTTCTGTGTGCCAAGTTTGGTTCAATTCCATCGTTGATGGGGTTCAGAATGCTCTTTGATTGTAGGTGAACTATAAATCCCAGCAACTACATCTCCCAAATGTCAAGATTCTATTTTCCCCAAACTCCACCAGTGTTCACATTTGGGCATATTGAGTATTCGTGTAGAGTTTGGTCCAGATCCATCATTGTTTGAGTCCACAGTGATCTCTGGATGTAGGTGAACTACAACTCCAAAACCAAAGGACACTGCCCACCAAATCCTTCCAGCATTTTCTGTTGGTCATGGGAGTGCTGTGTGCCAAGTTTGGTTCAATTCCATCATTGGTGGGGTTCAGAATCCTCTTTGATTGTAGGTGAACTATAAATCCCAACAACTACAACTCCCAAATGACAAAATCAGTTTTTTTGAGCGAAGGACATACATTGGGTAGTTAGGTGTCTTGTGTCCAAATTTGGTGCCAATTTGTCCAGTGGTTTTTGAGTTCTGTTAATGCCACAAACGAACATTACATTTTTATTTATATAGATATTGCACTGAATATTTTTTTGGTTGGATTCCTGGAAGGTACATTTCCACTTCGGGATCTTATCTAGTTCTTTCATAGCTGTCCCTCAAAAGTCTTAGGGTGCATCTACTCTACTGCTCTCCATGTAATTCGAAAAGACCCGAGTGATGAAGTAGAAGCGTACCAGGTGGTGGTTGGTCCGATACTGGCGCACCTCGCGGAAATTGTTCTTGTTGTGCAGGCTTTCAAATTCCACCCGCCGGTCGTTGGCAAAGGACTCCTCGCCCTGCAAGGAGAGTCAGCGTCACTCGCAAAACTATTTGTCGAGCGAGAAACGGGATGAGTCTGAAATGTTTGCCAGAAACAACACAGCCATGAGACGTACTCATAAAGGTCCCCAAAGGCCATCTAGTCCAACCCCCTTCAGCCAGGCAGGAACAGCACAATCGAAGCACCCCCGACAGATGGCAACTCAGCCTCTGCTTAAAAGTCTCCAAAAAAGGAGCTTCTACTGGACACTCACATAAATCTTTCCCCCTCTTGGGTTGCTGTGTTTTTCCCAGGCTGTATGGTCATGTTCTAGAACAGTGTTTCTCAACCTGGGGGTCGGGACCCCTAGGGGGGTCGCGAGGGGGTGTCAGAGGGGTCGCCGAAGACCATCAGAAAACACAGTATTTTCTGTTGGTCATGGGGGTCTCTGTGTGGGAAGTCTGGCTCAATTCTATCATTGGTGGGGTTCAGAGAGCTCTTTGATTGTAGGTGAACTATAAATCCCAACAACTACAACTCCCAAATGACAAAATCAGTTTTTTTGAGCGAAGGACATACATTGGGTAGTTAGGTGTCTTGTGTCCAAATTTGGTGCCAATTTGTCCAGTGGTTTTTGAGTTCTGTTAATGCCACAAACGAACATTACATTTTTATTTATATAGATATTCCTTTACAGAATTGCTGGGATTTGTAGTTTTCCCTGGTTAGACTATGTTTTCCCTGGTTAGACTATGTTTTCCCTGGTTAGAAAATGTTTTCCCTGGTTAGACTATGAGGAAGGTGTTAATAGTCTTGTTTTCTTAAATAGGATTAAAATAACACAGGAGAGGCTTTTGCTGATTTGTTCCCTATATGTTTTCCCAGGTGCAGAATATAGGATTTTGTGATAATTCCCCCCACTGGCAAAACCACCTCTGGCTATTCTTTGCCTAGGAAAATCCTACGAAATTAACGGGGTTGCCGTAAAGTGTATATAATACACACAAGATCAGACTTTGCGTCCTTTTCTCCAAATGCAATTGGGTTGGGGATGCTAGGAGTGATAGTTCTGGAGAGAAAAAGCAGGGTCTAAATAAGCATAAACAACAACAATAGGTCTCTTTTCCCATTGTTCTTTGGATCCCGTCGATTTTATAAAAGTTTACAAAAGTTTTCTTAGGCATGGAGAGGTGGTTTTGTCAGTTTCTAAAAGTTGTTGTTGTTACTGTTATTCCTTTGAAGGAGATCTTACAGTCCCTACTAGTGTTTGTTGGCGGTCTCCCATCCAAATACTAACCAAGGCTGACCCTGCTTAGCTTCCAAAACCAAATGGGATTTAGTGCCTTTAAGGTACTTAGGCCTGTCCTATATAGAGTTTTCTTGGACAGAGGTCGTTTTGCTGATTTCTTCCTCTGAAATACCCTCTATATCACATTGGTGGTCTCCCACCCAGATCCTAACCAGGGCTGACCCTGCTTTGCTTCCAAAACCAGATGGGATTTAGTTCCATTAAGGTACTTAGGCATGTCCTATATAGAATTTTCTTGGACAATGGATACTCAGAGGTGGCTTTGCTGATTTCTTCCTCTGAAATACCCCCTATATCACATTGGTGGTCTCCCATCCAGATCCAAACCAGGGCTGACCCTGCTTAGCTTCCACAACCAGATGGGATTTGGTGCCTTTAGGGTACTTAGGCCAGTCCTATATAGAATTTTCTTGGTCAAGGGATACTCAGAGGTGGTTTTGCTGATTTCTTCCGTTGAAATGCTGCCTATATAACATTGGCGGTCTCCCATCCAGATCCTAAGCAGGGCTGACCCTGCTTGGCTTCAAAAATCAGATGGGATTTAGTGCCTTTAAGGTACTTAGGCCTGTCCTATATAGAGTTTTCTTGGTCAAGGGATACTCAGGTGGTTTTGCTGATTTCTTCCTCTGAAATATCACTTAACCCACATTGGTGGTCTCCCATCCAGATCCTAACCAGGGCTGACCCTGCTTAGCATCCCAGATCAGACAAGATTCTGGAGACTTGTCATGTCAACGCTCACATTCAAAGCTTATCATGACAGCCTGAGAAAAAGGTATCCATAGTTTCTTCCTGACTCCCACGGAGCATCTTCTCCAACATGGTTAGATCAGCTTAGTTTCCAAACATTGTCTCGTTATGTCAAGGTTTCAAGCCTCCCCGGACGGTCTTATCTACTCTTGGCTCTTCTAAACAAAGGCTTGGCCAAGGTCATTTCCATCCATTCTTTAGGAAGAACATTTTGGCAAGAAGGAACTGGAGGTGAAGAATTATAAAGATTTTTAAAAATGTTATGTTTGGGTTTTCAGTATCCCTTTTTTATGCAAAGGATGCTTGCATTTTCCAGAATTTTACATTAATGGATGCTGCTGTGTTGAAGTTTGTGATGGACTTCTTACTGAGTGTTGAATATGGGGAAAAAGAGGGAATTTATATTACTTACTTACTTAGGCGATCCCTCGTTTTCTGATTAGGATTGTCTTCCAAGATCGGTGTCCTGGCGGTGGGTCCATAGGTGACCTTGAAGCCCTATTCTTGACCTGTATCTCTTCCTGCAGTGAGGACATCAGTTTCCAGGTGGAAGGTGGTCCCGGTCAGGGTTGGCTTGATGCTCCTTCCTCTTGGCATGTTTCTCTCTTTCGCCCTCCATTTGTGCCTCTTAAAATTCTACAGCACTGCTGGTCACAGCTGACCTCCACCTGGAGCGCTCAAGGCCCAGGGCTTCCCAGTTATCGGTGTCTATGCCAGAGTTTTTAAGATTCACTTTGAGTCCATCTTTACATCTCTTTTCCTGCCCATCAACATTCCATTTTCCGTTCTTGAGTCCGGAGTAGAGCAACTGCTTTGGGAGACGGTGGTCAGGCATCTGGACAACGTGGCCAGTCCAGCGAGTTGATGGCGGAGGACCATCGCTTCGATGCTGGTGGTCTTTGCTTCTTCCAGCATGCTGACATCTGTCCGCTTGTCTTCCCAAGAGATTTGCAGGATTTTTCAGAGGCAGCGCTGATGGAATCGTTCCAGGAGTTGCATGTGACGTCTGTAGACTGTCCACGTTTCGCAGGCATATAGCAGGGTTGGGAGGACAATAGCTTTATAAGGTCACCAGCCAATCCCTCTCCAATGCCAGAAACACAGCTTAATGGTGTAACATAAGAAATGTTGACCATTTCCCAAGAGATCTGCAGGATTTTTCAGAGGCAGCGCTGATGGAATCATTCTAGGAGCTGCATGTGACGTCTGTAGACAGTCCACGTCTCGCAGGCGTATAGCAGGGTTGGGAGGACAATAGCTTTATAAACAAGCACCTTGGTCTCCCTACGGATGTCCCGGTCCTCAAACACTCTCTGCTTCATTCGGAAAAATGCTGCACTCGCAGAGCTCAGGCGGTGTTGTATTTCAGTGTCAATGTTGACGTCTGTAGACAGTCCACGTCTCACAGGCATATAGCAGGGTTGGGAGGACAATGGCTTTATAAACAAGCACCTTGGTCTCCGTATGGATGTCCTGGTCCTCAAACACTCTCTGCTTCATTCGGAAAAAAGCTGGAGTTGCAGAGCTCAGGCGGTGTTGAAGTTCAGTGTCAATGTTGACGTCTGTGGACAGTCCACGTCTCACAGGCGTATAGCAGGGTTGGGAGGACAGTAGCTTTATAAACAAGCACCTTGGTCTCCCTATGGATGTCCCGGTCCTCAAACGCTCTCTGCTTCATTCGGAAAGAAGCTGCACTCGCAGAGCTCAGGCGGTGTTGTATTTCAGTGTCAGTGTTGATGTCTGTAGACAGTCCACATCTCACAGGCATATAGCAAGGTTGGGAGGACAATAGCTTTATAAACAAGCACCTTGGTATCCCTACGGATGTCCCGGTCCTCAAACACTCTGCTTCACTTAGAAACATGCTCCTCTCGCAGAGCTTAGGCGGTGTTGTATTTCAGTGTCAATGTTGACTTTTGTGGAGAGGTGGCTGCCAAGGAAGCGGAAATGGTGAACATTTTCTAATGTTACACCATTAAGCTGTATTTCTGGCACTGGAGAGGGATTGGGTGGTGTCTGCTGGAAGAACACTTTGGTTTTTTCAATGTTCAATGACAGGCCGAGCTTCTCGTATGCTTCTGCGAAGGTGTTTAGAGTGGCTTGTGAGTCTTCTTCTGAATGTGCACAGACAACATTGTCATCAGCATATTGGAGTTCTATAACAGAATTTATATTAGTACAGACATAACCTCCAGCATGTTTATAGTAGGCATGGGCAAACTTTGGCCCTCCAAATGTTTTGGACTTCAACTCCCACAATTCCTAACAGTTGAAGTTTTCTCATGCCTGCTATAAACACACTGGAGGTCATGAATGTACTGATATAAATTCTGTTAGAGAACTCCAATATGCTGATGACAATGTTGTCCGTGCACATTAAGAAGAAGACCTTGTACAGCAACCATAGCACATATCAAACTGGTTTTGTGCTCAATGTTCTTGTTGCAGGGTTGATGGGCAAACTTGGACATTTTCCTTTTGGGGACAACACCTCCCAAAATCCCCAAAAGTATCCTGTCCAAAATCTGCACCAACATGTCTTTGGACTGCAGCCCCATCAAAATTTGCAGGTGTCCCATCCTGATTTGCATATCCCCGCCTCCTGATTTGCATAGCCCTTCCTTCAGTGCCCCTGTTATCTTTTGGGTTCCAGCTTTGCACTTCAGGAAATGAGAACCGAAAACTTCTGACTTCTTTCATTCTTTCTTCCTGTCGTTTTGACACCGGAACTGTTGATCTTCGCCAGCAGTGAGGTCTCCATTTTTATGTTTTGTTTTTGTTGCAGAATTTGCTTCCTGCTGCCAAGGTCTGGTTTTGCCATATTTGCAGCAGATACCGACTTGGCATTTTCCTCTGACCAAACAAACTCAAGGTGCTGCTGCTAAAAACTTGCACGAAAGCTTTGCATCCCTCCAGAGGTAAATATTAAATGGTCCTTTTTCCTTCCATGCTATTTGCCTAATTTCTCTTTTTCGAAC